GCACCGCGGCTGCGGCGCTGGCTGCTGAATTCCCGCTGCTGCCAGCGGCAGCGGCCCCGCCGACCTCTGCTGCTGCGCGCGGCTTGGCAGGCGCCAGGCCCAGGTTGCGCATCCACAGCTGCGCACACACGCACACGTGTGCCCAGCGAACGGCCAGGCGCGCCGTGGCAAGCGAGCGTGTCTCGTCAGCGCACCGCAGGCCAAGTTAGCTTGCTGCGACCTGCCGCATGTGCACATTTCTGGAGCCTCAAGCTGGTCCCCAAACCGCTGCGCACGAGGCCCCGCAGCACTCATGCTGAGCCTTGATCATGTGAGCCATCCGCCTCACCTCATCGCCGCTGGCACGCCTCTTCTTCTGTTGCTGCTGCCCTGTTGGCCGGCAGAGGGCCGCCAGATCAAACGCCCTGATGCCGCCACCGCCGCCGCCCCCAGGTCTATTGCCGCCGTCCGCCGCCGCCCCTGCCGCCGCTGCCGGGCCCGCCCCGCCGCCTTTGGTCCCGTTGATGCCGGCTTGCAGCTGCTCGAACAGCGCCGCTGCCTTGGCCTTCTTCACCTGCTGGGTGCGCGTCTCGCCGGCTGCTAGCGCGTTTGGCTGGCCGTTGTCCTCGTCATCGTCGCTGCCGCCACCGTTGGCCACGGCCGCCCCTCTCCGGCTGCGCGGCAGGGCGGAGTGTGTTGTCAGGGTGATCGGCCGAGCGGCAACCGGCAAGCGTTCTGCCAGAGCTACGCTGCAGCGGCACTTGCGGCCCATCTGCTGCACCTGCGCTTGCGCCTCTGCTGCGGTCCATCCTCTTTCTCGCCGGTTGGGTCTTTCGTGGGGTCATACTCGTCATCTTCTTCATCAGAAGACGGCAGGTTCGCGTTCAGAAAACTCGCCATTTTGATCTGCTGTTGTCCTGCAAATACCGTTTGAGGCTATAGAGCTTGCTAAATCTCTACAGTAAGCTTTCAATTAAGCTGTCAGCACATGAGCTGTGCACAGTATTGTACGTTCTATTGCGTGCGCCGGCGCCGCCGTCACCGCGCAATCCAAGCGGGTGGCGAGTGACAAGCAGGCCTGGTCACAGAGTCCTTCCCAAAAGGGAGCTGTATCAAGCACCACCTGGGAGCCGCAGACGGTCAGGTGGCTGCTTTCGCATCAGGGGGTGGACGAGTTTGGTTGTAATCCTGCAGTCGCAAGTCCAGGGGCCATGGTGCTGTGTCGCACAGGCTGCACACAAGCAAGCAGCAGGCAGCTGCACACAAGCAAGAAGAAGCATGGAAACAAAAGTATACTGCTGGCCATTGCACCTTCCCAAATTCTGCGGACCTGCAGTCCCCTTGAAAACCCTGTCAATGAATTCCGGAGTTGCAGTCCCCCCCAAGCCCTGAAGGGTATGGTTGCACATTTAGTGGACATCTCACAACCATCATCTTGACACCTATGGCTTTGAACATACACGTGGGCGCAGAGTTACTCATTTCAGTCATGTCTGCTGCTGCTGTTCCATGCACATCTTGGCCTCCCGTGCCTTGGTGGCGCGCGCGGCCTGGCGTCGCGCCTGCTCGGCCTTGCAAAACGCCTTGTGGCCCGGCCACGAGCGCTTGAAGCAGGCGTCGGAGCAGAAGCGCGCGGCGCGGCAGCCCGCACACAGGTGCAAGCGCGCGCCGCCCGGGTGCGCCGCTTGACCGCAGCCAGCGCACCGGCCAGCTGCAGTGTCACCTGCTCCACGCGTGGGGTGTGCTACTGCGCCTGCTGCTTCTGCTGGTGATGATGGTGATGAAGATGCTGCTGCTGCTGCTGCTGCTGCTGCTGCTGCTGCTGCTGCTGCTGCTGCTGATGATGGACTTTCCACGGCCATTGATTCTGTTGCCGTTGCCACCGCAGCTGCTTCTACTCTTGCTGGTGTATTATTCTGCTGCTGCTGCTGTTGCTGGCCCTGCTGTGGCTGCTGCTGGTCTTGCTGCTGTTGGTCGTGCTGCCGCACTCTCTGTGATACCTCCTCCGCATGCTTCCACGCCTCAGTGCCCTGCAGCTCGCGCAGCGCAGCCCACGTCACTGCCTTGAAAGCTACCGCTGCGGCGCACCCGCCGCCTCCGCCGCGGCTGTCCTGGCTGCCGCTGTGCTTGCGATCACAGCCGCGCTTTGCGTGCGAGTGCAGCGTTGCGAGCGCTAGGGCGGCGCGCGACACGTGCTGAAGGCTGGGTGGTGCTGCTGCCAGCTGCAGTGCATCGGCGTTGGCGGCGGCGAACGTCTGATCAGGGCTACATTTGGGCCACTCGCACCCTGCCCACATGGCAAAGCCCTCTAGCAGCATCGCAGCGCCCTCCTCTCGTGTCGCGTTCCTTTCGGAACTTGCAAACACCCGTGCAGCGGCGGTCACCGCGCAGGCGGGCCAGAACTGCTCCACCAGCAGCAGTGCTGCAGGGCTGCCGCCAGCCACGGCCAGCTCCTGCCATGCAGAGTGCAGCAGCTCAACCTCATGGTCATGGTCATGCTCCTCCTGCTCCTGCTGCTGCTGCTGCTGCTGCTGCTGCTGCTGCTGCTGCTGCTGCTGCTGCTCCCGCTGCTGCTGCTGCTGCTGCTGCTGCTGCTGGGGGTGCTGGAGGCACTGCAGTTGCTGTAGCTTGGGGATGCACACCTGCAAGCCGAGCCCTGCTGCCGGCAGCCGCCCGTACGCCAATGCCACTTGCGCTGCCGCCACCCACACGCGCACAAATTCAGCCAGGCGCGCAGGCCCCTGTTGCTGCAGCGCGCGGGTGAGTACATTGCAAACGTTCACGCGGCGGAGTGCTTCGACGAAGCCGCTGTCGCCAGCGCTGTCATCGGTGCTGCTGCCGTTGCCGCTGCCGCTGCTGCTGCTAGTGCTGTCGCCGCTGCTGTTGCTGCTGCTAGCGCCGCCACAGCCGCCACCGCACGCCATGCGCTCGGTCGCGGCCACCAAAACTATGACTTGGCACACGTACATGATCACCAAAGATGTGTCCACCGCTTCCAGAGCATCCACTGCGCAGCGCAGGCCGACGGCGAGTGCAGCTGCGCTGCGCCGCGATGACAAGATGCTACGCCGCCGAGGCTGTCCGCACGCCCCCGCTGCAACCGCTGCGCCCGGCTGGCCGGTGCTGCTCGCCGCCGCAGCAGCGGCGGAGGCGCCCTCAGCAGCTGCAGCGCTGTGCTCCCACTCCACGATGCGATGCAGGCACGTTGCCGCGAGCATAGGGTCGTGAGTCGCCGACTGCAAGCTCTCACCGTAGGCTCGAGCCGCCCTCAAGGCGGCACCGCAGCCCGCGACGATCGCCAGCAGATTTGTGATCAGCTCGCCGCCGCACGCCGCGACGACGGTGGCGCAGCTGCCAGCCAGTGGGTCCAGACAATCCGATATCACCCCAAGCGCTGCATGCTGAGCCAACCAGGGGACCGGGCGCCCCAGCGCCTGCGCCAGCGGCGGGAAGCACCGCGGCGCTCGCGCCAGCAGCTCTCGCACGAGGCCGACCCGGCTGGCGCGCCCTGATCCCGGGGACCAAATAAGATTGGCTGCCTTGAGCGCGTCGGCCGCCGCGCCGGGCCCCTCCTCGAGGCACACACACAGGCATTCTGCGACGCCTGCGGCCGAGTCTGCCAGCGCGCGCTCCCACGCCGCGTGCGCCGCGGCGTCTTGCGTGGCGTGCGGCGCCAGCGCCGCGGCTGAAGTGGCAAAGGGCATCGAGAGCAGGGTAAGGCATAGCAGCAAGTCGCCGGACAGGCAACGCCCAGGCACGTCGAGCTCCTCGGGGAGCAGGCGTGCCAGCCGCAGCATCCCCGGCAGCAACCCAGGCGTCAGGGCGGCTGCGGCGGCGGCCGGGGACACCCCCTCCGCGCCCTTGCACAAGAAGTGCAGCAGCATCAGGACGGCGCCCCACGCCTCGCGCTCGCCGCGGCCGCCGCCGCCGTTGCTGCCGCCGCCGTGAGGGCTGCCTTCGCCGCTAGATAGCAGCGCTGCGCGCTCGGCCCGCACGATCGCCGCAGCGACGGCATGGCCGCACTCCGCTGTCTTGAGGTGGTGCAGCAGCGGCCCTCTTTCCCCGGCGGTCATGGCGGCCAGCTTCTTCAGGACCATGTTCTGCATCTGAGCACGGCTGTCTGTATGGCTGCTGCTGCCGCCACTGCTGTTGCTGCTGCGGCCGCCTTTCGTACCACTGCCTGCGCGCTCAGCGCACCACAAGGCATTGAGCAATTGAACGAGGCCACGGGGCTGCAGGCTGCTGGGATGCACTCCATTGGAATCAATCTTGCGGGTCAGGATGTCTACTTTCCGGTCCTCTCCCCGCGCCAGGGCACGCGAGAGGGCGCTGAGGGTGTCCATCACGCACTGGTCCACGTCGCTTTGAGTGTGTTGTGTCTTGTATATGTAGTATCATATCATAGCGACCTGCGTACGAGGCGTGACAGCTAGGCCAGATCTGGTGAGTGGAGATCAATTTGGCGGGCCACTTTTCAGTATCGTATACCGTATGTTGCGTGATCAAGACAGCTGATGGTCTGCCCTGGGATGCGCTGTCTTCTAGCTGGCATTCCAGTGTCCGCAGAGGGGCACCAACAGGGCACCAAATGCGCAGCCGCCAGGTGCCGCACAGTGCTGCACGTCCATAGAAACCGGGCCTCAGATTGCCCCATCAATGAGGATTTCTGGAGAAACATGCCCATGTGGTGTGTGAGACAGAGGACTGTATGTTGAAACAACATTTGGAAGTACCGGTGGCGGTCGCACCAGCCGACCGCGCACAGATAGAATGAAAAAGGCCACAATCACCGTAATATTTTCTCCAGCCACACCATGACACCCCACACCAGCAGGCCTACAAGTAATTTTCTGCATGCTTCCATGTCATTGCATGACATGACCCTGCAATCCAGACCTGGCGCACCCAGCAATGCGAGCCAGCCGGCCAACGTCAAAACCGTAGAAGCTGCCAGGCGATGTGGAAAGCGCTGCATCGGTGCACTGCTGCATGGCCCCCATAATCGGGCGAAATTGCCGCCACGCGCAACCTCACCGGTGTGCAACAACCCCACAGGTCTGCAACAGCTACAAGACATGACCACCTGTAGCTTAGTAGCCATGTGGCTTGCGGCGAGCCGCTTGCTGGAGCCGCCCAAACCAAAGCGCACCGCACAGCAGTTTTGTTGCTCACGTTTTTGACCAAAGGCTGATATGGCAGGCGGCTGACACGCTGACATCCAGCCTCCACCTTCTGCGATGAGTCAAGTGCTTGACATAGCCTCCCTGCCCACCACACTGCTGCTTCTCGTGTGTTGCTGCTCGCCACTGTTACCGAGTTTCTAACGAATCGCAGTATCCATGAGGGACTGCATAGTAATTTAGAATCTCGCTTCAGGTACGTCGTGAGGGGCGCCAGCAGCGATGGGCCGCGGGCCAGGACACGAATTGCAAGGAGATTATAGAGATGTAGACGTGGCGAACGATTTGGACGATGATAGCGAAGACGTCAGCCGACGCCAGCGCGCCCACGAGCGCGTCGCCGGCAGCGACGGGAGCGGCGCTTGGCGTGTGCTGCTGCTGGTGCTTGCAGCAGGCTGCGCCATGGGCGCCGCGTCGCCAAACCCAAAGCTGCAGGGGTGGGCAGCGTGGGCGCAGGCGGCAACAGGCTGGTCTTATACGCTGGCTTGGAGCCTGTCATTTTATCCTCAGGTGAGAAATCGGGATTGCCCATGTGATAGCCGGCTTCTGGAGCCATCCAGGCTCCTGGGAATCGGCTTTGAAGCAACAGAGCGGGAATTCCATGCCTGGAGGCAACTCATGCATGCCTGAGCATGTGTGCAGTTGCGCGTGCGGCCCACGCACAATATAAGCATGCCGCAGGGAGCAGCGCGCCCGCACTTTTCGAACTCGCCAGCGGCACGGGCAGATGCGCGAGGTTGCTTCAGCCTCGCACGGCGGCTCCCCACCCCGCCGAGCCGGCGTGCCCGGGCATCCCCTTCCTGTTCATGCAAGGGCACCGAACCGCGTTGCTCAACCACCTTGCGTAATGACCTTACATGACCAAACCAGGTAATCATGAACTTCAGGCTGAAGAATGTGTCCGGCCTGTCCCTAGACTTCCTCGCCCTCAACCTGCTCGGCTGGGCCGCCTACGCCACCTTCAACTGCGTCATCTTCTTCATCTTCGAGTGCCCCCGGAAGCCGAACAGGCTCGGCGGCGCGGCCGCGGCCGCGGGCAGCGGCGCCCCTGGCGGCGGGGCGCCTGAATCCATCAGCGGCAGCTTCCTGGGCGCGGGCCCAAAGGCGGCCGAGCTGCTGTATGGCGGTTTCTGCCCCTACGCCGTCGAGGTGAACGACGTGGCATTCGCCCTGCACGCGCTGCTGGTGACGCTGCTGACGGCGACGCAGTGCGTCGCCTACCCCCGCGCCAAGGGCCAGAGGGTGCACGCCGCCGTCGCCGCCGGCGTCGCGGCCGCGGCCGCGGCGGCAGCAGCGTACGGCGCGGCGGTCGCAGGGCGGTGGTCGTGGCTGGGGCCGGCGGCGGCGCCGTGGCTGCACTGGGTGGACTGGCTGTATTTCCTCGCCTGGATCAAGATGGCGGTGAGGGGCGGCCGCTGGCGCTCGCAACGCAACGCATGAGCAGGCGCTGTTGAAGCTACTTTGCGGCCTTGGCCGCTCCCGGCGCGACGCATGAGCGGGCGCGCTTGAAGCCATCTCGCCTGCGGCCCGACAGCACTGCGCATCATCGCGCTCACACCTGACCGTCTGGCTGCCTGGTGGCAGCGAATGCATACCCTACCAGTAGCTGCGCGCACCCTCCAGCTACTGCATGCAAGGCCTGCCCCTCACATCGCGCACCTGGCACACCGCTGCCCCACTTGACGGCTGCTCCATCTCATCTGTATTTTGGTCCGCAGGTCACCCTCATCAAGTACATCCCACAGGTGCGCTCTCTGCACTGGCCTCCGCAGCCCCTCCCCCCACACACACACGCCGCGACACACCCGCGCCCCGAATCGCACACCTCCGGGCCGGGGGGCGCGCCAGCCCCGAGGGGCCAGTCCAGCTGCACGGCCCTGCCGTGCCCAGCGCTCACCCCCTCTCACCCGCCCCGTTTTGAAGTTTGTCGTGCCCGCCCGCCCCGCCAGGCCGCGCTCAACTGGCGGCGCCGCAGCACCCGGGGCTGGTCGATCCTCAACATCCTGCTGGACTTCACCGGGGGCGCGCTGTCGCTGGGGCAGCAGCTGCTGACCTGCTGGGCCACCGGCGACTGTGAGCGGCGAGCCCGCAATGCACACGCGTGTGCGTGTGCGCCCGCTTGGCGCGTCCCTTCCAGCTCAAATGCACAGGCGTGGTTTTCAAATTGCACGCCCGACCTGACCCCTTGCGGTGGGCAAGTCTGCGCCACCCCTCTCACAACTACCTACAACTACCGCTACACACACACACACGCACACGCACACGCACACACACGCACACACACACACACGCACACACACGCACACACACACACACGCGCGCGCACACGTGCGCATGTGGACGCATGCACATTCGCGCGCACACGCATTTGCGCGCACCCACATGCATTCACACGCACTCAGACACGGTCGCACACACGCACCCCCGCACTTAAACCTGACTCATGGCCATCATCGAAACATCCGAACTCAGGGGCGCCCGTAACCTCCAACCCCGTCAAGCTCGGGCTGGCGCTGGCGTCAATGGCTTTTGACGCCCTTTTCATGGTGCGTGGGGGGGAATGGGCCAGGAAGAGGGTGGTTGGGGTGGGCAAGAGGCGGTGTGAGCGCATGCTTCATCACACGAGCGCCACACGGACAGGGCGATGGGGATCAATCTCATATGCTTCTGCCCTTGTGCGGAACGCGTCAAACGCCCCAACTGGTTGGGCTGGCGAGCGATGCGCGCGGGCCGGGCAATCGACACTTTGGGGAGGGGGGGCAGAAGGCGTACGATCGATGCCCCGCAGCTTGCCGCTGCAAAAACGCTCGCGGCTGTCGCAAGCCTGCGGGTATTCTTCGCCAGCACGCGCGCCGACGACGCTACCGACACCCGCGCGCGCATGTCGCAGGTACAACACTACATCCTCTACTCCAACGCGCCACCCATCGCCGCGCGGCGCGCCGTCGCTGCCGTTCCCGCCGCCGCTGCCGGCGCGAGCGCCGGCGCGGCGCTGGCCCAGCCGCTGCTGGCGGGCGCCGCCGCCCGGGAGGACGGCGGGGGGCAGCGGCGGGACGCCCAGGGGCAGGTCTAGTGCCGTGAGTGACCCAGGGGTGCTTCCTCAGCGATGTGATGCCTGAGTCCTTTGTGGGGCGCACACCAGACTGAAAAGGCCTTCGCCATCACCCGCGCGAGCCGGTCGCGCGCCACTGCTCGACCAGCCCCGTGCTGCAGCTCGCGCCACACACCATTGTGAGCAGCCGTTCCTAATGTGGACCGCACCGCGCGCCTGCGGCCTTTTCTCAGCCGCACGCCTTCCAGCCGGCCTGTCTCACACACTGTCGGCCGTGCCATGGTGCACGCTGCTTTTTTTGGCAGCGGGCGGGCTTCAGTAAGCCTGCCTTTGACTGCAGTTCCTTGTGCCACACCTGGACAGACAGGCCCGCACTCGGGCTGTGAATTCCAAGAAGAGGGATGCACGCTCGCACTGATGTCTCATCTCACGGCCGAAGCACGCGGCGTGCTGGCCAGCCTTGTCTAAGAGCCTGAAAATTGTGAAACCTTTTTGTGCCTTTTTTGCAAAGACGTGCGGGCTTGCACATCATACATATAGCATATGCCTGCCACATAGCACATGCCTGCCTGCCTGCTTGCCACCCTACCCACATACTCGCCTGCCTGCCTGCCTGCCTGCCTGCCTCCCCACCCCAGTCTGCCTGCCTGCCTGCCCAGCCGCTTTTGCGCCAACCCCGCACTTAAAGTCGGCCTTTTCTCAGCGGCGCATCTGCCACTTAATTCATGCCGGCCCCTCCATTAGGATGGAAGACAAACCGCATCCACCTGCGGGGACCCCTGATGTGCCATTGTCGGCCTGCCATTGGGGGCGCCCATGTTCATAATGTTTGCCTTGTCTTTCCTCATATCTTGCCAGGCGTTTGCCACACAGTTATTGTCTGTGGTGCACCGCGACAAGTCGCCGGCTGATTGCTTGGAAGGTGCCAAGCAGTTTCTCCGCTCCCCCCCCCCACACACACACACACACACTCGTGCCTGTGCACATATGTACTGCCGTTGTTGCGAGCCTGCAGGGGCTTGGCGGCATTAGATTGGACCCTCTGATCTTACAAGTTCCTGTTTTGAAGGTGAACGCCTCTTGCAGCCACTGTGCAGATGCGCTCGCTGTCAGGCGCCTGCCAGCAGAGAACCGCCTTTGGTTTTCACAACATCTCCAAGCTGGGCCCGTGCGTGCTGGCGCCCTTGCCCATGCGAACGCGCGAGGCGCAGCTGCCGGCGCACAAGGGCTCAGCTGAGCTCTCAATCGCCGTGCGTTCACGTTTCAGCTACATAACCTATTGATGGCTTGTATATTCCCCTGCTGCTGGATCAGGGTGTTATGGGGGGCCCGCAGTGTGCCGGTGTCCTTGTCTTGCGCGGCCGCCGATGCAACACCCTTGGTACCCTGATTGGTTGGGTGTAATATGTATCTGGCCCTTTCATTCAAGCAATGTCCGCTCAAACCCTGCAGCACTTCACAGCTGCCTGCAGCCAGCACAGAGTGCCAGTCCCAATAAAAGTGGCAACGGCCAGGTTAGGGGGGCATGTCAGCAGCTTCCTGTGCACGCACACTTTGTGCGAGCCCTGCTGATAAGCACCAAATGACCCCCAGCAGCGTGGGAGCGTGCGTCACGGGGTCAGCCAGCCACCTAGCTGACTCGCCAGAGGGGGGCCATTATTTGAAGGCACACGGCAGCGGCCAAGCCTGAGGCCTGAATCGTCTTGCAGAACTCTTGACTGGAACCGGCGGTCTCACGCACCCTTTGCTTCGCAGCTGCATCAGAAGGGCACCTGTTTCGCGTGCCTTAATGTTTTGGTCAATGTCACAGGTTCAGGGCTACCACCTCATCCCGCGTCAGATGGTTGGCCTCCTGCGGGCTCTGCTGAGAATCCCTCGCGCTGTTTGCACAGCACACGCCAGCGCTGGCTACATACCAAGCAGGGGCGCGCTGGAGTCACCATCACGCATGCACCGCGTCGGTCGGAAATCTCAGATAGAGCTACGCTAATCAAGCGAAGCAAGCTCCTTGGAGGGGGAAGCGGGTAGGTTCCTTTGTTGCTTGAAGGGTTGCTTTGCCTTTTTTGACGTTCATCAAACCTATCTGGTAACCAGCAACCCTCCACGTGCCATACAGAAAGCTCTTGTATTCACAGCGTAACAGGTATACCGCCTGGATTGCGTATGCATGTGTGAGGGCGCCCCCAGCAGCATGTGCGCCTTTTGACAGGGCCGCCACCCGGCTGAATGAGGTGCTTCAAGTGTGGTAGCTGTGCGGCTAAGCTGACCTGGATGGCGTGTAATGACGGTGGGGCAGCAGTCAATCACAGCTCTCCAAACCTCACACATCACATCGGTCGCATTGTTGACTGCAGCACCCAACAAGTTGCGGTGACTTCCTGCACAAACGACATCAATCATCATGTCTGTGCCGCCCCGTGACTGTATGCCCTCATTTTTAGTGCGAGCGTTGCAGTTTGCTGCTATACCTCAACACCTCAAAACCTCCTGGCTGCCACGCCAGCCCGTGGCACCTACAACCACAATCCGCCACCAAGCATGCATTTGCCATTGAGCTGCGCGCTGCTCGGTTTCAGCGCGAGGGAAGCAGCCCGCCGCCCCCAAGAGCGGCCCATGCAGCGTGTGCACACCCCAGTAAGCGTCAGCATCATACAGGCCCAGGAGTAGCCCCATCAACAAATAGCAGATCCTCAACGCTGTCACTCGCTTTCCGGCATACCTGCGCTCTTCGTGTGCACAGCTCTACTGCTCTTCTTTGGGGACTGCATCAGTGACTATCCACCCAGGCTTTTACAGATGTCAGCAGGCACGCGGCATGCATGCCGCAGTTAAGCAGCGGGCAGAAGGAGTCGCACGCCTCCTGTAGCCATGATGGACAAGGATCCGAATAATTTGCACTTAGCCGGCTTGATGTGCAAACCTGATCACAATAGGCGGAATGCAGCGCACAGAAAAGTTGTGCCTTTGGACAGCGTGTTGCGGAAGACGGATGGAGCGGGGATTCGGCAGCAGCTAGGAATAATGCTCGACGGTCCACGTTTCAATCCGTCAACATCAGGGCAGTGCACACACGCAGCACAGGACGACGCGTGCATGCGTGGCGACATGTGACGCAGGTGGCTTTGTCAGTGTCTGAGTGGGCGAGCGAGCGGCCAAGTTGATGCCACAATACGAACAGCAAAAGTAGTGCAGCACACTTCAGGGTGTGCTCCTACAGAGTGCGCGCTTGGGTTGATAAACACGCAGCAGCAGTGCATATCACACACAAAAAATTCTTCACAGCCAAGCACGCCGTCCCCCAACTGCAGTCCTAGGACCTGCAGGCAGGGTTTCTCCCTCCGTGATGTGCGTGATCCTGCGGACGGCCGCAGCGGAACTGAGGCAGTGTGGTCCATGAGGTGCGCGCGCTCAGGCCCAAAGTAAGCCCCTCGCAACTTCAAGCAGGTGCTTTTGAGGACGCGGGCAGTGCTCGTGTGCGGAGTCTAGGCGTCCATGAGAAATTTTGCAGCGCAAGTGCAGGCGCTGTGGGAGTGCCGACAACTGGGCGGCGGGATGCACCTCACGCCCACTGGGTTTTAATACTGCTGGCAAGGCCTCCAATTGAAATCATGCATGTCACACAAGCAGAAGGTGTGCTGTGGGCCCTTTCACAAGCACGCCGTGTGTGCAGCCCCCTCGGCCGTTGGAGGGAATCTACTACTTATTTTTGTTGATGAAGTCAAACGATCCCTGATTGAGCTGCAAGTGACGCCAGGAGGGATACATTAGATGCGACTGTGTCAGGTGGCGCAGTATGTCTTAGCGCAGGCCGACTCAATGGCAGGAGGAGGGTGAAGGGTTCCTAGTCCCACTGCATTGGGCTGCCTGCTGGCTCCCATCGCGTGCCCGCCGGCCCCCGCTGCACGCAAGAACCCGTCCAGCACTGGGGCAGCGCCCGCCACATGCACGCGATCACTCCGCCATGGTCCTCCATCCCCTTTCTCACTCCCTGCAGCCTTCTCTCTCCCGTCACCAGGGGATGCAGACAAGCAGGAAAGGTGGGAGTGATTCTATCCGTCCCAAGTACCTCCCCTCCCCTTTGTCCTAATATCGGGAATCACCTGGGTGGCCACGTTGGATTTGTCACCGGTTGATGACTGCACGGTGTGAGAATTAACGGCTTCGATGTAGTTGGTTCCAGAGGCAAACTGTTGGGAATAGTGCGCAGATGGACGGCATGAGATTGAGGGTGCGCGTGAGCTCCAGGGGTCATCAAGAGGCTTGTAAAGAGGTGCACGACAGCATGTTGAACCTTAGGGCGTAGCGCGAGGCAGCAGGACAGGCTAGCCACATAGGCACGCCACATTTTTCACGTGTGTGCTCCGTCTGCAAGGCAGTTGGGCATCGTCACTCACCATGGGCGAGCCCTCCTGGCCAGCCGCCGTGTCACACTACAGCAGGTTGCGTGGTGCGGGGGGGGGGGGGAAGAGGGGTCAGAAGCATATTGCATGCGTCATGCACTCGCAATTACCGCGTGCAATTGCTATCAGCGCGTTGAGGTGGGCGTTGTGAAAATCAGCCCACCACCACAGTCGCTGGGTTGAATCTTTCTGGCAAGATGGCAGCCCGCTTAGTTGGCGCAGTGGCAGGCTTCACCAAGGTTGCCATGATTTGCCCAGTTACCGTATGTGTTGTGAGGCCATCCGACGGCTTGTTGTCTACCATGGAGCTGTAAGGAGGGCCGTGCGGTGTGTTTCTCAGCTCAGTGCGCAGTGATTAGAAACGCATGTGCAGCAGGAAAAGGTTAAAGGCGTGTGTGAATGTACCACACAAGCTTATGTCAATTGTTGTTTCAGCGCGTTGACGCCCTCTGCGCAGTGTACTATCTTGCTTTCTCACCCTGCTGTGCAAACTTCGGTCATGCTTTGTCCCCAATCTCATGATTCTGGATGGCTCTAGACCGCTGCAAGAAATCGACGTCTGAGACAGCTCGCCTTCCCTCACCAAGAGGTGGTCCACATGCTGCCTTTGGCCTTGTCATTGGGGTACCTGTGGCGTCGCAGCAAGGGGGGGGCACAAAGATGCCTTTCTTGGCATACTGGCGCGAGCGCAGTTCCAGCTGCGGCACACTGCAATGCTCACAGTGCAGCTTGTATGGTGCTTTCCACTGGGTAGGGGCAACTAGTGCATGCGGCTGCAGCATCCAGGCGGTCACATGGCACTTTGTGGTCTAATCGCGGCGGAGCCGATGCGGTCAGGGGGTCAGACTCACCCAATCGTCGTCCACGAGAGCCTCGTGTTGGTTGTCCAACGGTAACCGAACCAGCCAGCTGTTTGGCCGAGGGGCGACTGCAGCTTGACAAGGCCGCTGCAGAGAAACGCGTGGTGAGCGTGGGTAGTCATGTGTGTTATGAAGCCATCCCAGAAGTTGTGAAACATTGCTGGCGTAATGCCAACAGGCTTGCACGTCCACAACTCGGAAACATTGGGCCACCACTCTATGGCCAATGGCCTGCTGGCGGGACACTACCACTGAGATGTAAGCTGAGAAGCTGACAAGCGGGAGAATGACCTCCCGCCTATGCAAATTCAATCTCACATGTTGTACTCCCAAGTACTACTTGAGGTCCACCCCTGCATGAAATTGCCGTGAAACAGGGGCAAAGCAGGGTTTGATTGTCATGATTGCCAAGCTGCCAGCCCTTCATACTGCATGACAAGGCAGCATGTACATGCTTGTGCATCCACGGTCGCATCCACGGGATCAAGGCACGAAGCCTGGCCTGAGCTCGGCCCAATCGTCGCCGCAAGTGCCAGGATCTCCTCCTGTAGAGCAGAGAGCTGCGGCACAGAACTCACTAGAAGGGCAACCATAACTGTTGACCCAGACGTGCCGAAGGGGTTGAAGACGGTCGTGCTGGTTGCGGTGGTGGTGGTGCGCCCCGGAGCGAACAACGCGCTCCTTACCCAGCCGCCTGTGCGCACACAAGTCGATCGACGGCAGGTTACGGCATCCGATCAAGGGGCGCGAGAGTGTTGGTATGTGAGTTGAGGGAACACATGCCTTGATGTGTCTTGTGTGCGCGCAGTGTGTATGCCCGTGTGCATATGTATGTTTGTGTAGATGTTTGAAGGGGGGTCCGCTGCATGTGTGCGTATGTGTGTGTATGGTTGTTTTGCAGCTCAAGTGCACAAAACCACAGTTGCCTGCAGCTTCGCACAATCTGGACATCCACCGATGCACTTCACATATGCATGCTTGATAAAAACCCACCACACGACTACCCAAAAGCAGGCCTCACCACGTGGGCCACCAGTGTGAATGCAGCTGCCGGATGTAAGGACAGTGGAGGCAGCGATCAATGCTCCGGTGCAGAGTTTCTCCTTCCCATCGGGCAAGATACTGACAAGCTGTCCTGTTGCACTGCCTGGGTAAGCCCTGCACATGAAGACACAGGGACGGGGAGGCAATGAGCGACGTTGTGGACATGGCACATGCACTCAACAGAGAGCGCTCTGAGGGAGTGCGACGCGAGCGTTCCAAACAAACGTTCCATTAAAGACCCGCATCCTCGCATTCACATGCTACCATTGGCGTTCCTTTTGAAACCCTTCAAGCCACACCGCATGGCTGGAAGTCTTGCATCTGCTTCACCAACAGGGCAAGTGCCGAAGGGCTGGTGCAGATCTTATGCTGCAAATCCGGCCGCCCCTCAAGCCCCGGCCGCTCGCCCGAACCCACTTGTTGGGAGACAGGAACTTGCGATCGTCGGTGCCAATGACAAAGTTCGGCGTCACAGCACCGCCAGCCGCAGCGGGGGTCGTTCCATCTGCAGGAGCCTCGATCGTCTCGCCCTTGAAGGGCTCGCTGGCCCGGGCCTTTGCAGCGGAAACGGGCTTCTTGTTGGCGCACACATACAGCAGCAGCACCGAGAGCGGGTTGCTAGGGTCTGCGAGGGCAGCCGCGATGGGGCGCTGGGCCAACTTCGTGGGGAGGCGCCGGACTTTCCGCTTAGCAACGAGCTGCTGCGCGGCGTCAGACTTGAGGCTAGCAGCAGTGAGGTCGGCGGGGCTTGCCTCCCTGGCCAAGCCCGTGAGTGTGCAGCCGTCGCCCTTGAAACGGGATGCCATCTCCGCCGAAATGAGGAAGGGGCTGGCGAGGACTGCCTGGGGCTCAGCACCACCAGCCGCCAGCAGCGCCGCACGCCGGGTGTTGACTGTCGCCAGGGGGTAAGCGGCACGTTTCAAAGGTTCACGTGGGAATTTAGAATCAGCAAGTTCAGGAGCGGTTGAAGCTCTGCGTGTTGCGCAGATATCTAACTTCCAGCATGAACAGCTCTTCAGTTTGATATTGTATTGTGTCAAACATTGCTGGTTGGCAGCTCATGGGGCATGGTGGCAGTGCCCAGACGAGGTGCTTCACGGCGAGCTGCTTCCTTTCAACTCGCCGCGTGCGCACCCAGAGCAGCGGTCTCCGCGGGCGACGCAAAGTTGGCCTCGTCGTCGGCGCGGCAGGGGCCGGTCTTGGTGCGGGTCTTGACCCCCTGGCACTGGGCCAGGCAGGCGGAGGCGTAGGTGACGCCGTCGGTGCCACAGGCCGGGGGACCCTCAAAGTCATTGGGGGTCAGCGCGTTGCAGTCGCAGGCAGCTGCGGCTGGGAGAGGTCAATTTGTGTGAGAGGGGACAAAATGTGATGGTGATGTTGCGGCAGGTAATGCACAACCATGGCGGATCCCCCGGGGGTGTAATCATTCAGCCCGGACTGACTGAGCATTACTAATGTGGGTGGGCCGGCGCACAGGTGCGCCCCAGCATGCGCTAAGAACCAGCCGGCCCGGACCCAACCAGGATGATTCGCGACAGTGCGTTCTGATTTTGCGGCGGGGTATGCGCAAGTTGAAACGATGCGCGCGATGAGCCCTCTCGGCGGGTGACTGGTGGGACCGCTGGCCAGGTGGCCTGGTCACCTGCTGAAGCGCCCACAACGATGGCGCACAGCAGCATCAGGACAGACACCCCTGGCCTCCGGCCAACGGTACACTCCATGATGCCAAGGCAGGGGCCCTTCTGCGGGGGATCAAAACGGCGGAGCGCGGGATTGCATTGGTGGCCTTGGTGTCAGTCAGCGCCCACAACTCGAAGCTTGGGGCCCGCAACGCTTTCCCATCTGCACAGTGTCAACGCCAACTCCTTGTTGCGTTTCACTCTTGAGGTTGCGGCATGCGACTGGCTGTGGATTGCCACGGCCACCTTGTCGACACGCCTCTGGGGTCGGGCCTAGGTGCTAGTTTGTCGCTGCTGCGTAGAAAATAGCCGAGGTGGATTTGTGGTAAGCAGATTTTGGAACCGGCCGCCGCAGCCCTCGAAGTGACCAATCTGGACCGAATCCTCCGGACAGTGCGTGATTGGGTGCCACGGGTGGGGACAGGATCGGCCCTGAGTGGACTTCAGGGAGTGAGGGTCAAACTGAAGCAACAAAAATTACGTTGTTTATCGCAGCACCTCATCGCAGCTGTCCGAAGCGCTGCTTACTGCCGCACGTGACCAGCAGAGCTGTACCGTACAAGAGCACAATGACAGCTGCGTACCAGGTGTATGCTGGTTTCCTGAGGTGCTACGCCCCTGTCACACATCTGGGTAAACTATGATGCGCTCTGCAGAACCCTGGGTCACTGTCCTGGTACCTGCAAGGCTGGGAGCTCCAGGCAAGTCGCCCATGACACGCACCAAGCAAAGCTGTGCCAATTGGCTGATTGGGGCGCACGCTCAGCGCCGCAGTCGTGATTGCAGAAAAAAACGAAAAAAGCTTAGGCAGGAAGCTGGGGCCTTGTCAGTGACGGCCAAGAGGGTTGGCTCCTGAGCAAAGGATGGGGCGCCAGCTGCTGGGGCGGGGCGACAACATCAGGAGCAGTCACTGTCAAGCGCACAGTGTGCTGCGGCGATTGACGCAGTGCCGGCGTGTTTGACAGGTGCACCGCAGAGGCAGCAGCTGGGATGTGTTTGCTGGCTCCCCCATCAACCTGTTCCATGGAACTGCCTTGTGCGTGCATGTCACCAGGCCACGATTTGACAGGTCCGGAGCTCTACATGCGCAGCGGGGGCGGCAGCAATCCAGTGTGGTGTCATGCATGGGGCTGCGGGCTTGCAGCCCACGGCAAAGTTGCGGGGCAACATGGCCGTCCGCAGGCGCGCCCGCGGCCGCTGGTTCCCTGTGACCGTCACGGCAGCGCCAGCCACGCACAAGGAGCTGGCAGCAAGTGTGCCAAACGGACCCGCCGGATGGCAGGGTGGGCCGCCGCAAGGGCGAGGCCTGCATGAAGCACAAGCCACAACAACAGCCCGCGGTTTCCGGCCTGCTGCTCCTGGAGGCGGCAGGCGCGTCATACGTGGAAACCCGACGCTGCTTGCAGTGCACGGCAGTGGGCGACGTCACAGCTGCGCGGCCCGCCACAGCGGACACCGGCCCAGGGGCAGCCTGTGTGCACATTTTAGCAGCTGGCTGGCAGGCACATCGCTAATCCAGCTGCCGGATGCACCGCTTGGCAGGCGGATCTTTGTCTTGCAGCCCTTTTATGCCCAGCCATGCCCAGAGGTTCTTCTCAAGCCTTGAGAGGGCGTGCCGCAGCCGGTTCCGTGTGCCGAGCTGCCTGCCTGTTAGTCTTCACACACTGCAGCAGGCAGCCTGGTGTCACCAGATGCCAACAGCCAATTGACAGGGGCCGGGGGGGGGGCTCGTCTGCTGCAGATGCTGAGCTGCTTGTTGCGAGGACGAGCCTCAGGCTTTGCGTGAGCAACCCGCAATGAGCTGCTGGCATGCAGACGCGACCGCGCAGGCCAGCGTGCGACGAGTGCGCGCGGCGCTGCGGGTGGCGCGCGCAGCTCGGGGGATGAGGTGTGCCGCATGTGCTGGGCCCAGGGGCCGTATCGTGGCACGGCAAGGCGGCAAGCCGCAGTGAGGAGTTTGTCAATGTGTTTGTATGCGTGAATGCGTGCGCGTTTGGCACTATTGCAAGTGCCCTCCGTATGTGTGCTTGGCAGCAACACGAGTGGCTCGCAACAGATGTGTGTGAGGGCATGCATGGCAGCCTGCCCGCGCACATGCACATGCATGCGGGGTGGGGTGTGGGGGTCAGCACAGCACGAGCAGGGTACCGCGATGCGTGTGTGTAGGGGGTTGGGGGTGTGCTGTGTGCGTGTGTGTAGCCGCATAGCGTCAGCAGCACGCACCGCCAACACCAAGCAGGGTCTGATGCTGTGGCGACCGAGCTGGGCGGCCGGAAACATGCCGTATACCATGTATAGCGGTTCCGCGCGCAATGGAATTCTAGATCGCCGCTTGAGCAGCTTCGTCCCTCTCACCCTTCCTTGTCGAATGCCGGTTTTTGTGAACGCATCATCACAACCGTGACAACATCCACCTGTCGTTCTCTCAGCCTAGCAGCCGCCATCACTCGGCAGCACACACCAGGAGCAGCAGCAGTCGCCAGCCCGGGCTCTCCGCACACAGCAGCAGCAGCCATGCGTCCGTACTTGCTAAAGGGGCATGAGCGGCCCCTGACGCAGGTCAAGTACAACCGGGAAGGCGACCTGATGATCAGCTGCGCCAAGAACCTGTATCCCTGCCTCTGGATGGCGGACGACGGCACTCGCATAGGCACTTACGAGGGCCACAACGGAGCCGTGTGGACCTGTGAAATCAGCATGGACTCGCAGCGGCTGATCACGTCGTCCGCCGACCAGACCGTTCGCATCTGGGACCTCCCTACCGGCAAGGAGCTCCACCAGATCAAGATGAACGAGCCCTGCCGCGCCTGCGCGCTCTCAATCGGAGAGAAGCTGCTCGCCTTCACAACAGACAGCTTCATGGGCATCCCGCCGCAGATCCACATCGTCGATGTCGACCTGCAGGCGGAGCCCGGCAGCGGCCAGATCGCCGGCGACAAGCCGCGGCTGACCTTCGACGCCCCGAAGGGCCGCATCACGCGCATCGGCTGGGTGGAGCAGAACAAGGTCCTGCTGACCAGCCACGACGGCGGCTTTGTGCGGCGGTGGGACGCTGAGACGGGGGAGTTGCTTGAGGAGGCGCAGGTGGGCAAGGGGGCGGAGGGAGGAGTCAATCTACCTTGCTGCTTGGGCGGGGCGTGCGGGCCGCGGTGGATCTGCAGCTGGGACGAGCCGTCGGATGTCGTGCTTCGGTTGCTTGAGAGGTGGAAGTAGCTCGCCCGGTGGCTGCGCTATTTGTCGCCACTAGACCCGCAGCGGTGCGCCCTTCGCGCCCAGTGTGTGGAACTGGGCAGCTGCCGCGCAGGCAGCAAGCGCTCGTCTTTTTGCTGTGGCTGTTTGCGGGACGAATTGCTGCATGGGGGTTCAGCGCTGCACGACTCTTGGCACGCGCGGCCAGTGTGGAGGGCGTTGACGGCTGCGTTTGCTCTGGAAGACCCAGCGGTGTGGCGCAAACACACACTGTACATGGGAGGGCATAGCCAAGGGGCTCGTCATTGCCAAAACTGTTGGTGGTCAGGCCTTGCTTCAATCCAGCTGCTGGCCAACCTAGCAGTTAGCCGCGAGAGACACACATGATACCTTGCCTCGCTGTCAACACCCCCTCCTCCTCCCCCACTGTCACAGCAACCCCCCGGCTTAAAACCAGACACCCTTCCCCCTGAGCCCTTTGCAGCATGGGCAACCTTTGTGTTCCCACCTTATCTGCAACCCAAACGTCGACTGCATTGCAAAGCAGCTGCCACCACCCCCCCCCTTTTGGCAGGTCCACGAGGACGCCATCCAGGACATGCAGTTCTCACAGGACGGCAGCTATGTCGTCACGGCGTCGCTGGACAAGACGGCCAAGCTGGTGGACGTCTGCACGCTTGAGGTACGCAGCGTGTGTGTATGGGACACTTCTGTGTGTGTGTGTGTGTGTGTGTGTGTGTGTGGCAGGGGAACAGCGCATGCGGGTGTCTTCACATCCTGCGCAAGGTGGTCAAAACTCGCTATGCCGGCAGGTGAAGCTGTCAGTGGCTGCAGGTGCTCGGCGTTGCCTCCGTGCCATCCGCCTACAGCCGAGGACGCGCCCACGCACACACGGAACCCATGCCCACTTCCCCATGCCCCACCCCAGGTGCTGAAGACCTACAAGACGGGGCGCTTCGTGCAGTCTGCAGCCATCAGCCCGCTGATGGACCACGTGCTGGCGGGCGGCGGCCAGGATGCGAGCCAGGTGCGCCGCCCTTGTGGGGTGTTTGGGCTCGAGAGCGGCCGAGCAGCGGGCTCTGTTTCTTGGCCACCGCCTGAGGTCAGGCGGCAGTAGCGACACCTGTGGGCAGCTGGGCCTGCATTGGGCAGCTGCGCGGCCCGCTGGCCAGCAGGCGGATGGCGCGTCTGCGCAGCCGGCGTGCAAGCCCGCACCAAACCTGGCCTCTCGCGTGTCATGACAATTGCGTGCATACCCGCACCTGCAACCCCAGGTGACCACAACAGCGGCTAAGGCAGGTGGCTTTGAGGCGCGCTTCTTCCACAAGATCTACCAGGTGGGCCAGCGACGAGATCTTGACCGGTCAAGTCCGCCCTTGTGGTTGCACACGCGCAGCCAGCTCTGCAGGATATTCAGCTTTCGTTGCGATAAAGGCAGTATACTCTCCATAGCTCAAGAGCGGTTGCTGCATTGCTGCGGCCACCGCTGGCTTGGTTTTGCTGCCCGCGTTTCAAGCCCGGGGCTGCACCACGGCCTATCTCACGCTGCAGGAGGAGTTTGGCAACGTGCGCGGCCACTTCGGGCCCATCAACTCTGTGGCGTTTGCGCCAGACGGCCGCAGCTTTGCCACCGGCGGCGAGGACGGATACGTGCGGATTCACCACTTTGACATGGGTGCGTGGAGGGGGGGTGCAGGGGCCGAGGGGGGGCATCCCTATGAAGCTGTGGCAGCATTTGTGCGTGTGTGTGTGTGTGCGCGTGTGCGTTTGTGGGTTGGGCTGGCAGGGGGCGGTTTGGGTGTTCATATGCAGGCTGTCTGGGACGGCTGCATGTTTTGGGTGGTTGGAGATTGGCAGCCTGCGCGCTGGTCGCTGCAGCCGGCGGCACTTGCCTCAGAACCCAAGCATACCGCGAGCAGGCACATTGTGGGAATGAGACGGGCGGGTGCTTGGTTCCCAGCTGGAACCTCTTCCAATCATTATCTTGTCAGTGGCTTATCGCTATGCCCTTCCCACTGCAATGCCTTGTGCTCCCAGAGTACTTCTCGGCCAAGTACGTCTGATGGAGTGGGGGGTTCCACATTCGCAGCAGCAAAGCAGCAGCAGCAGCGTTCGCGGCACTGGAGTCGTCTGTCTGGAGTGCCAGCAGCAGCGGTGCTGCAGGCAATGGTGTCGCAGCGCATGGAGGCGGTTTGGGTAGGCGGCCGATCATGCATATGGGTGTCATGCGTGGGCGTCAATGACGGCGGGCGGGCGGCAGGGGCTCCGAGGCTCCTGCGCTGGTTCCACTGTAATTGAGCCCAATTTGCGCTGAACAGCAGGCGGTGCCGCGTAGGGGGATCCCAGCACCAATTTACAAGGATTGCGTGGCGTTCACAAGGCAGCAGAGGGCTGCCAGCCCAAGCGGCGGTTGCCAGCTTGGCGCTGGCGCGGTGTCAGATGCACGATAAGGAAAACGACAAAAATAGGCGCAAGCTGTTCTCAGACAAACACAATACAGTAAAATTTACAAACACACAGCCTGTGACACAGGTCATAAATGCTGACACATGTTGAAGATGCTGCAGTTGAGAATCTGGCTGCAACCGCAGCAGCAACTGCAGCTCAGGAACTTGGATGGTTATCGTAGGCCAGTCCCGGCCACCCTTGCTTCGCAATCCTTCCCCACCAACCGGGCAATTTGATCCTCATCCCTGCCGGGGGAACCCCAGCCGCGCCCAGCGCGAGAAGCCGCCCTGCATCACCAGCACATTGGGCAGCGCCCTCTCGAGCTGCGACAGCCGCGCCGCCAGGCGGCGCGCGGCGAAGGGGCCGCGCTGCTGTGACAGCATGCAGTGGACGATGCTGCGGGGCGGCGGGGCGGGGCGGGGC